GATTTGTGGAATTCAAGTTCTTTTTACTTCAATTTTATATGCTTAGGCTATTCTTTTTTTTATTTTTGATATCTTCATATTTTGTCGAACTTTTCATGAACTAGAAAAATAATAACAGGTCTAGAAATTATATTTATTTTTATCAAGAAACACATGACTAGTGAATAGGAAAAATGTGTGATTTGGTGTGCATACAAATATAAAGCAAACAAAGGATTATGAAACACAAAAAGAGCTATTGAAATAACCGTTTGGATAAGCTGTAGGGCAAATGGATAAAAGGAAAAAGTCAAAGGAAAGTTTCTATGAGGTTGGATCTCATATTAACTTCCCTCTTAAATCTCCATCATTAAACCATACCAACGGAATGTGATAGGATTATAAAAACTTTAATCCTTCATTACAAAAGATCAAATAAGGACATTTTTATTAGACTTCAATCCTACAAAATTCCTCCATAAATTCTTTGTCCCAAGAGAGCCATACTTCTTTTTTACATTAATTATCTTTCCTCCCAATTGCAGTGTCCACATTAATTATTTTTATAAACCCTTTCTTTCTATTCCTCCTTTCCAAAATATAAGCATTTTTGTGTGTTTTTAAAATGTATCTGGATGCTTAGCTTGTATGGAAGATGTCTGCTATATTTTTTTTTATGTGTTTGGTTGATGGGCACACAAGAATGGGACCACTAAGGATATTAATGGATGGTGGATCTAGCCAAATGGAGCCATCCATATTTTGTTCCTAGCGACGTGTCATATTCTGATTGGTTGTGATGTGTTCAATTTTGGTTAGTAAGGTTTAAATGATTTTTTCTCCTAAACCATTTATCCAATTTGTTATCTAATTATAATGTTGTATTTATTGCAATGAAATGTTTAAAACAAGATCTCCTATGATTATATTTTGATGGAAAAAATATATGGCAAGCGGATTCCACTAAATTTTGGTTTATCACATTCAAATTGTATCCCTCCAACCAAACAAGAAATCTAATCACTACATCCATAGAAAAAGGTTGGATTGCCCCCATCTAGCAAATATGAATTTCCATTTCCTATCCATCCTTACCCTTGAATTTTTTTACCATTATTTCTTATAATATATTCATGAACCAAATAGAACATTCAGTTCTATAGTTGTTGAATATATTATAAAAATAATGGTCAAAATATAATGTTGGAAACTATGTGAATAAACCTAGAACAACTACTCTCGTGAATTACGTTGCTTGGTTGTACCATCGGGATCAACACTCATGTAGCTCACCAGTTTGCCACGAACAGTCATTTGGATGTCAAGGTCACTTTTATTGGGATACATGTTGCTTTGTTTGGTTCTGCTGCTAGGCATTAATCGGCAATCTAGATCTAATGGTTAAAAAAAAGAGAAATTTGGACGGAAATACGTCCCTCCATTTTAAGAAGTTGAGGATTTAACACAAGACCTCAAGGTTGAAACCACACCCCTTGTCACTGTACCACTAAGTGCATCTCAACAATCTCAACATCTCATGGCCATGTAACCATACAGAATTAAATGATAAGGTGGATGACAGAAGTAAGAAAAGAGAAGATGAGCAACACTCCTCATGCAAGGGCAACCACCACACAAACTACAAGAAAAAAATAGATAAAAGAAGAGTGGATTAGACAAACAAATAAAATAAAATCATTGGGATTAGTATGCTAGAGATAGTGTAAATGTGATGTATTGTACATATCATCTCTTATTTTACATAGACAAAATTAGATGCCACAACTAACCCTTATATAAAACTTTCTCTTATCATCAGTGTCATTTAATAAGCCACCTACTTCTAACCACTTTTTCTCTAGCTCACATAGGTACTCCCTCTAGTAAAAAGAATATATGATATATTGAAGATTGCCCAATTCTCTCAAGATATTTAACTATTTACCACTTTTGGATGTGACGATTAACTATTTATCATTGGACCCACGTGTCATAGGCACATGAGGGTCCTTATGTCATTGACATATAGGTGACAATTAACTATTCTCTCCCTTTTCTTCTAGGGCTGCTAACAACCTACTATGAGGCAGATCTGATAATCACCCCTCCCCTAATAAGGCTAATTTTGAAATGAGATTGGATATTGCTACTCTATCATTTACTGTGAGCATGCTTCCCAAACGACGTGTTTTTGCAAGTAAAATATATAAGTTTCTTTTTTAAAAAATAAACTCAAGTTTTTAATAATAACTATAATTATTGTTTCAATTAATTATATACTAATGGCTAACTTCTCTTTTAAACTCAGCCTAAGTCGATTTGATGAACTGGAGCTCCTATTTCCCCTAAGTCTCAACATTGAGCTTTTAGTGGCGTTCTTTACAAGCTAATACAGAAGAGGAGTGGTAATGGTGGTAGGGCGATGGGGCCGCCAAGGGGATGACTAGCAATAAGGAAGACAATTAAGGTAAACAGAGATAATAGAGCAATTTTAACCAGGAAAAGTCAATATAGAGCCTATGTAATAATGTGGATCTAACGACTTAGGACATTCACAATGTGAACATAGTAAGAGACATAAAGGTAGCTAATAGCCTTATATATTGTGAAAGTTGGCAATAAGCCATTTGATGCTAAAGTTCACCATAAGCTTATGGCTTGGACATTAAGACAAAAGAAGAATAAAACTATTACACAAAGGAGAGGGAGGTAGTTCATTCTTGGGGTGAAAGATTTCAAATGAAGCAATATTTCCTTAATTCCTAACCATTGTGAAGTTTGTCATAATTAGTGCTTCCTGCACAGGACCTCATCATTATTGCTTATCGATATATACACATAGAGGATGCCCTTAGGTTACAATACCTACATCCTGGTTACAACCACACCCTCTGTTATAAAATATTATGTTTCTAGCTTTTTTAAATAGGGATTAAGGAAGAGGGAAAAAGACTTTGGTGTCCCTTAAAAAAACAAGAAAGAGTTAGGGTGGGAGGGTGGTATGGAAAGAAGTTTGAATGGAAAGTGATTGATGTGATAAGTAGTAGTGTGAAGTGATGAAAATCCTTATATTTTAAAACAAGATATGCATCTAAAAATCATTATATTTTAGAATGGAAAGTAACAAATGACCAAACCATTAGAGCTTGTTGCCATGTTATAGCTAAAAAACAGCTCAATAGGAAGTACATCCCTTGTGTGGCCACAACTTGTAATTTGATGCCTCAAAGGGCCTCATCTTTTCAATTATGCTTATGCTTATCAGCCAAAATTTAAATTTTCAACGAATAAATTTGAAGCTGATTTTGAGGTTTTTTTTTATCGAAGTTTATTTTTTAGCCTTTGATTTTAGATCGCTAAAAACACGTGTATAAAAGTTTTATTCACAAATTACTTTTTGTTTATAAATATGTTGTTAGGCTTATTCCACGAATAAGCCAAACGATGGGACCGAAAGTTTTCATCCCTTATGTGACAAACAATTTAAGGTTGTGTTCGTTTGCAGCAGTTCCCAACTCCCTACTCTCGTTTTCCATGCGTACGTTTTTCAAACTGCTAAATTGTGCGTTTTTTGCAAAAAATTTCTATACGAAAGTTGCTTAAAAAAATCATATTGACCCTTTTTGAAAAAAAATTAATACTTAATTAATCACGTGCTAATAGACCGCTTGGTTTTCCGTGCATAGCAGATGGATCCCAACCCCACCAACGGACACAGCCTCAGAAGGACACAAAGACTCGGGTTGCTCTAATAGCCAACAAACAGGAGGATGTGCACACCTAGCAAAAGACCTTTTGGGAAACAGGGACTTATTCCAAGTACCTGTCACATCGGATGTTCGGACACTAATTTGAAGTATTAAACATACACTAATTACAAAACCCATTCCATATCCTTGACTAATTCGCGAGACGAATCTTTTGAGTCTAATTACGCCATGATTCGACAATGTGATGTTACAGTAAACTTTTTATAATTATGGATTAATTAGGCTTAAAAAATTCGTCTGCATATTAGCTCTTATTTATGAAATTAGTTTTTTTATTAGTCTATATTTAATACTCCAAATTAGCGTCCAAACATTCGATGTGACATGGATTTAAAAATTTTTAGCCCCATCTAAACACCCCCCCTAAATGCGTTTTGTTTGTTCTCTTGTTGCTTTGAAACTTTCTAAGGCCAAATTTTCCCCCTAAGAATCACCATGTCGTGTTGAGTAGCAGATCTCAGCTAATTCTATCAACGAAATGGTATATTTACGGTTCTGGCTAAGTTCTACACAGATTATTTGCTCGGCTATTTTATCATTTATCGTGAACATGCATTTTAAATTACTAAACAGTATTTTAAAAAAGTTATATATAAGTTTCTTTAAAAATAAAATAAATCTATTTTCTAATATTTTATAAAAGCTACTTCGTAAAACTTAATTAATCATGTGTCAGTGGCGATTCGTGTGCTACTAAAATAAGATAAACCAAATAATCCTATGGAATAAAGCATTAGATGTAATCGACGATACCACGCTACATGAAAAAAAGTAGATTAACCGTTTATTTTTTTCTACATGCATATGGACCATTTGCATTAAGAATATTTCACAAAAGTTAGGGAAACGAATTATAAGAAAAATAATATGACCGTCATTCTCCGTTTTTTCATAGTCTACAAATATTTATTAATAAGTTGATTTTGTAATAACTCTATATTTAACTAATAAAAATCAATGTCACGTCAATTCAAATAAATTAATCGTTTAAAATCCACACGTCCCTGTCTCAAAATAATAACATATAAATAAATATTATAAAGATATATCGCCGTCTAATCGAAGCGATATTCCATAATTAACCCTGCACCTCTCAGGGAGGTGCAGTTGAGCATTTACTTCACTCTTTTTCTCGAGAAACCCACCGGGTTGTCGTCTGGACCTGTTTGTCAGTGACTGTCGAGAGCACGAGGTGATGGGTGCACGGGCCTTAAAGTTTAATCCTCTATGGATTCGATTTTTTCACTTATTTTTTTACTTTTCGGTGAAGCCCGGGAAAAAGGGCGCTCCATTTCGGAGATTTCGCACTTCCCACCCCTTCCCTTCGCTTCCTCCCTCCCTCGCCTCCGCCTCATCGCCGATTCAACCGATTCGCCATCGCCCCCCACCTCGCCGCCGTCGCCGCCGCCGCCTCGTAAACCGGTGGGATTTTGCGGGGAGGAGGGAGTTTGGTGCGGGAGAAGGGGGCGGAGGAGTGGGTGGTTTTGTTTTTTTTTTTTTTGTATTTTGTTTTTGTGTGTGAGAGAGGGGGGAAGGGGGCAATGGAGATGGACACATCGCCATCGTCTTCGGCGCCGTCGTCGCCGGCGGCGTCGTCGGACTCCATCGACCTCAACTTCCTGCCGTTCCTCAAGAGGGAGCCCAAGTCGGAGCCGGCTTCACCGGAGCGAGGGCCTCTGCCGCTGCCGGCAGCGGCACCGCCGCCTCCACCTCCGCCGCCGCCCCCACCACCGCCACCGCAGGTGCAGGCGGCGACGGTGGCAACTCCGGTGCCGGCGACGCCCGACCTCTCGGCGGCGGCGGTGATGACGCCGCTGCAGTCGCTGCCGCCGAACCCCGAGGAGGAGACGCTCCTGGCGGAGTACTACCGGCTCGCGACGCTATACCTGTCGTCGGCGGGGGCGGCCGGCGTAATCGTGCCGGCGGCGGCGCCGGAGGCCTCCGCGGGGGCGGTGGCGCAGCCCGGGTCGGGGTCCGGCGCGAAGAAGCGGCGGCCGCGGTCGTCGGAGCTGGTGCGGGTGTCCTCGCTGAGCGTGCAGGACCAGATCTACTTCCGGGACCTGGTGCGCCGGGCGCGCATCACGTTCGAGTCTCTCCGCGGGATCCTGCTGCGGGACGACGAGCGCGCGGAGGTGCTCGGCCTCACGGGCGTCCCCGGGTTCGGCGCCGTCGACCGCCGCCGCGTCCGCGCCGACCTGCGTGCCGCGGCGCTGATGGGGGACCGAGACCTGTGGCTCAACCGCGACCGCCGAATCGTGGGGCCGATCCCGGGGATCTCGGTTGGGGACGCCTTCTTCTTCCGCATGGAGCTTTGCGTGCTAGGGCTACACGGCCAGGTGCAGGCTGGGATCGACTTTGTCACGGCTGGGCAGTCTTCCTCAGGGGAGCCCATAGCCACATCTATCATCGTGTCCGGTGGGTATGAAGACGATGACGATCGCGGCGATGTACTTGTGTACACAGGACATGGTGGTCGTGACCCCAACCTCCACAAGCATTGTGTTGATCAGAAGCTTGAGGGTGGCAACCTTGCCCTCGAGCGTAGCATGGCCTATGGTATTGAGATCCGCGTGATCCGTGCTGTCAAGTCCAAGCGCAGCCCCGTCGGCAAGGTATACTTCTATGATGGCCTCTATAAGGTTGTTGACTACTGGCTTGACCGTGGGAAGTCTGGCTTCGGTGTTTACAAGTACAAAATGCTGCGCATCGAGGGGCAGGAGTCGATGGGCTCTGTAAATTTTCGACTAGCCGAACAGCTTAAGGTCAATGCCCTGACTTTCCGGCCAACAGGGTATTTGGGCTTTGATATTTCCATGGGTCGAGAGATCATGCCGGTTGCACTGTACAATGATGTTGATGATGATCGTGACCCACTTTTATTTGAGTATCTGGCGCGGCCAATATTTCCGTCCTCTGCAGTCCAAGGGAAGTTTGCTGAGGGTGGTGGCGGGTGTGAGTGCACTGAGAATTGCTCAATTGGATGTTACTGTGCACAGAGGAATGGCGGTGAGTTTGCATATGACAAGCTCGGTGCTCTTTTACGGGGCAAACCACTGGTATATGAGTGTGGGCCATATTGCCGGTGCCCACCTAGTTGCCCCAACAGGGTTAGTCAGAAGGGGCTTAGGAATCGGCTTGAGGTATTCCGGTCAAGGGAGACTGGGTGGGGTGTTCGGTCTTTGGATCTCATTAAGGCTGGAACCTTCATCTGTGAGTTTAGTGGGATAGTGCTCACTCATCAACAGTCAGAGATTATGGCTGCGAATGGTGATTGCTTGGTGCGGCCAAGCAGGTTCCCTCCAAGGTGGTTAGATTGGGGTGATGTCTCTGATGTCTATCCAGAGTATGTGGCACCAAACAATCCAGCTGTTCCTGACTTGAAATTTTCAATTGATGTGTCAAGGGCAAGGAATGTGGCTTGTTATTTCAGCCATAGTTGCAGTCCAAATGTGTTTGTCCAGTTTGTGCTGTTTGACCATTACAACGCAGCTTATCCTCACCTCATGATCTTTGCCATGGAGAACATTCCACCATTGAGGGAGCTAAGCATTGACTATGGAATGATTGATGAATGGGTGGGAAAGTTAACCATGTAGTCAGGCTGTCTACTAGAAGGCAATACTCAGTTTATCTTCCTTTGTTTTGATGCTTTCATAATCCTTCTCATGGAGATTTTTGAGGTGATTGCTGACAACAAGTTTCTCTGATGGTAACTCTCCCAGTCCTTCCATGATCTTTTTATTTTGAGATTTCTAGGATTATGTTTCGAACTCAGTACTTATAATATGCCTTTATAACAAGTCTACATTACTTGTGTGTGAATTGCTTCAATTTGCATTTTCTGTACCTCCTTTTGATTGACCTGTATTACTTCCTACTTAATTAGTATTTTGTTTATCTCTTGCTTATTCAACTTCATTGCATTTTTCAATGCTGGGATCATGATTCATAAATTGGTTGTGGTACTTGAAAAGATTGAATGAAGTAATGAATTGGTTAAAGTGCAGCCTTGTGAAGTAGTGCTCCTGGGTGCATGCGTTCCTTGCCCTCTATAAATAGGCAACAATCTCCATACATATGTACCATAAATGTTATCTTTGATTTACTAGTCTTCATTTCTTTCAGTCAGAAATATTTGGATTTTATCGTACTATTGGTGGTCAGCTGCTGATATGTGCTGTTCAAAAAAAAAAAACTAGTGGTTTCAAAATTTAGTTTGAAATTAAATATCTTATACCAATTATCATGATGATTTCTGGGGATATTGTTCTTCAGCCTGGCTTATGTTAGAATATCAATTATATATTGTTACATTTTTTTGCATCGTTTCTGGAATCTGGAGGTCAATCTAGCCCATATATGGTAATACGTGCCCATATAATTCCCCAACGAGCTTTATGGTTGTTAAGTAGTAAAGTTGAGTCAAGTTGCCCCTCTACCGACTTGAGAGTTGACACTAGTCTTTGGTAGTATATCTGACTTTTACTACATTTACTGGTTGCTTCTACCACTCGTCTTGCACTACATGCTGTGCTGATGGACCTAATGGAACTCTTTTCTTATCTCCCTTCATTCAGTAATAATGGGCCTGACAGACCAAGCCTCCTAAGCAACTCATCGTTGCTGCCTTGCTTCATTGTGTCTTCTACTGCCAACAACTTCTTGTGCCCTCAAGTCATCCTCTCTGGCCAATATGTGGATTTGTTTTGTGGGTTTGATGGTAATGTTATCCATGATGCTACTATGGGACACATATGTTCACAGTAAATTGGGTTCAGTGACCTAATAAAAGAAACAAATATTATTAAGATTAGGCAATGCCATGATTTAGAAATAAACATGGCCTTGTGCCATCTCCCAAAACTACCTAAAAATAGAACAAAATGTGTTTGATCTCCATGTATAGGCAGTAAAACCATAGTTTTGCGGCCATAACTATTTGGAAGCTTGTTTCATGGCACACCATGAGAAGGATGCACACATGTATCTGCTTGTCCTATGTTTTATGGGCTCATGGCACTGATTGTAAATGTGAATGTCTGGTCCACCATTATCTTCATATGTGATTGTACTTAGCATGCCTATAGAAGCCTATCTTGGCATCACTTGGATGGAGTTTATTGAAAATACTCTCATGTATTTTGATGGTGTGTTTGGTTGAGGGAGGAGGGTGGATGGGATAGGAAAATGCATGATGGATGAAATGGTCTAGAATGGACTGTGATACAAGTTGTCCCTCCATCTCAAAATATAGCTACCTTTAGCATTCAAGTTCTGTTAAAACAAAAGTTCTCATCAGGTGTTAGCGCTATCTTGTTCACTTTTGTCAACTGAAGTCGCGCCCAAAATGTAGCTACTTACACCTACCAGTCATCTCAACCAATCACAACCATCTCATTTAATTTCTCCACCTACTTACTCATCCCAACCAATCACAACCATCCCCATTTAATTCCACCTACTTCCTTAACCAAGGTAGCTAGCTATTTTGGGACGGAGGGAGTAGATGTTTGGTTGGTTACACAGTATGGTACAAATTTTCTTTGCTTGGTTGTGTCGGATGGTTCAGGATGGTACCATACGATGTTTGGTTTGTAAGATGACAAGTAGGATACTGTTTGACACGCATGACCCACAGCATGGTTCAACATTTTTTTTCTCACATGGAATTGTACAGAATCAATATAGAATATTCCTGGAATATGTATCCCACCATCCGGGAGGATATTATCCCATCTGTGAAATCAAACAGCATGATCAACCTTGAAGTTGAAGATCAAACCATCCACTCTCATCCCCTCATGCATGCGTGTCAGACCATGCCATGTCATAGCCTTGCCATGCCAACGTCCCTGGCGCGGCAAGGAAGCGCTGCAATGCCGTGCTCCTTGGTGTGGCATAAATGGCTGCTAGTGCTTGCATGCGTGTCAGACCATGTCGTAGGTAGCTGCATGCTTTGCCTGTGTTAGCTAGTAGGTGCATACCATTGATCACCACTCTTTGCATATTTTCTAGATATTCATGTACAGTAATATATGAAGATAATTGTCATAAAAGTTACTCCATCCCATAAAAATTAAATCTAGTACGGGATGTTTTTTATGGGACGGAGAGAGTACATCATATATATCACTTTTACACAAATGCATGTATGGCTAAATTACATCTATAATTTCAAACAAAATAAACAAATAGTTATGAGTAACCACTGATATAGCAGAGCATGTAGGGACCGGACTCATACTGCATGCTTTGTTTTTCCTATGGCACTTTCAAAGGACTCTTATTATTTTTTCCTGTGTTTTTTTATTGATGTAGGATTTAAGAAACATACTATTTTAATTTTTGTGTTTTTTCTATTCATGTATTTTTCCTATCCTACAAATCAAAGGGCCCTTCACTGAGTGGCTTGCGACTTTGAAATAATTCAGAGTGCAATATGTTGTGACCCCCTCCTGTAATATAATGACATCACTTCAAAAATACTTTTAAACGATCAATCAACATTATTTGTTAGCTAGCTGGCAACTCAAGCTAATTAATTAAAGTGTCATACATGTATGGCACGCTAGGGGGCCATTACCTCCAATAGGCATGCAAAGCCTGCTCGCATCCAAACCAGGGCATGATCAGCATGCATGCAAATCTCCGTCATGCCGCAGGGCACGGCAATTCAGAGCAAGGTTGTCACGCCAAGGATGTTGGCATGGCAAGGCTATGACGTAGCACAGTCTTTCAGTGTGTCACGTTCCATCATGCCAGGGTTATTTGGCAACGCCAGTATTCTTGGCATGGCCAAAAGATTCAGATTTGGAAATAAAATTTTAATAGGGTCTAATATTAAATTATTATATGTAAAAGGTTTAAGAAATAAAAACAATTCTGCGTGTTGATCATTGTTGTTAAGTTGTAAACTACTAAAGTCAAGTTGATGCATCCTTCTACCAACCTGTGGACCAGTCATTACTAGTCGATGAGTTGATTAGTGTTTTATAAAGGAGATCAGGGAAAAGAGGGAACACATGAGCAAAGGAGGTGTGAAATTCTTGCTGCTTCCTCTAATCTGGCTCTAGCTCTGGTGGCTGGCTATATATGGAAGAGGAAAATAACTCTCCTCTTTTTCCCCTTTCCTATGAACTTGGCCTCCCAAACAAGACCCAGTTTGCTCTCAAGCAGTCCCAAGTTGAGTCGTGTCCCTCTAGTTGTGCTCTATGGTCGACTTGTCAACTAGTCACCTACTGTGTAATAGTGGTTTGGATTTGCTGTTGGGACGGTAGACGACACTCTCTCTTTGTCTAAATAGTAGTGATTTGTTATGACATGACTTTTTCTGCGTGCGTTTTAAATTACTGCCATGCTGTACCATATTGTTTTGCAGATCAGCATCCTATTTGTTTTTACCAAAGCATTTTGGTCTACAGCATATCTGAGGTGGTTATTGTATTTTACATGTTCAAATTCAATCAGCTGTTTCTACTTTGCTAGTATTTTTTTTTATGTTAGCTTTACATTTTTCCAACAACATCATTATGCATTTTTGTCAAACTAGTGCATTGCTTTCATTTCCTGTAAATAATAGTTACACTCCTTTTTTTTAACTCATCATTGCCCGTAATAATTCCTTTCCTTTTTCAAATATGAATGAACCTGTTATTTCTTATTTCAGGCGAATAACAGAAGCTTGCATATGGGATGATGTTTCAAGCCTTCCCATGAGGAAGGCAAAGTCACAGCTCATTGTCATCCACTAGGCATCAACCGTCCGTTGTATATTTTTGCATGGTAGCTGCAGTGCCCCGTGGCTGATTCCCTCTCACCCTTGAAGCTTGATGCTTGCTTTTGTAGGAAGCTTGTTTTGCGCAGCAAGCACCGAGTTTCATACTTGACCTCTGTTTTTCTTTTTTTTTCCCTTCAATTGCTACGAGAACTCCATATGTACATATATCTGTACATTACATGACTTCAAAATGTGTCCCACTTCTGTCTGTAAATGCTGGTTGGCCATGTCTTGAATGGTAGGGTAGCTCATAGATTTGGAGCTCTTACAGAGGCTAGTCCTGGAGAGGCATTCTGTCCAGGACATATATATGCCGTACTGATGGTTTTGCTAGCTATTCATATATTCAACTGTCGGGCTACTGGTGTCAATGTCACCCTGGTATCTACAAGTGCAACCTGTTGAGGTGGTCATTGTAGAGATTTCATCAGCAATGCTACTCCCTCTGTTTTATAATATAAGACTTTCTAGCATTGCTAACATTCATATAGATGCTAATGAATCTATGTATATAATAATGTCTAGATTCATTAGCATCTATATGAATGTGGGTAATGCTAGAAAGTCTTACATTGTGAAACAGAGGAAGCAGTTACTAATTACCTGTGCTTTTAAGATTCTGTTGCTGCATGAACCCAGGTATCCTGGTCTAAAAATCCTAAGATGTTTGCCTCGTAGGCAAACCATCAATAGCTTGTTTTTTTTTCTTCTCCAGGTGTGCCCTTCATATTTCCAGTTGATTGCTCTGAGACCGATGTTTTTGGCCTTCTTTCCCGATTGTTCTTCCTTTTAGTTTAAAAGAAAAGGTAGGTTGTGAAATTTCGAGCATTTCGTTGAGTGGCAAATTACATATTTACATGGGTAAATCTGTTCTATGCCGTCGGAAAGACTGTTTTCGTAAGGTCTTGGGCAGAGTTTAACGACACTGAAACATGGTAAGCTCTGTGAATGCCAATCACTAGTTAGAAAAATTCATTAATACAATATTTAGCTTTGCTAGAAGTATAGTAAGCAGCCATGAACATATCAGCTAACAGCCTCGGATATAACTAGGTTTGGCTTTGATATAACTAGGTGAAACCTTGCGCGTTATCGAGGGATTTTAGTAAAATAGTTAGACAACATAAATTTACATAAGTTGATATGATTTATGATAATTTAGAGAGTATATGGAATGATATTCAAATGTAAAAGTAAAGGTGACGTGGTTTTATGAGAGAAGAAAAGAAGAGATAATTTGAATCATTGATTAATTATTTAAGAGCTAAAAATAATTGAGATGATATGGCTTAATGAGAGAAAGGAGGGAGATAATTTGAACCATAGATTAATGGGTTAATCATCTAATAACTAAAACCAATTGATGTGATATGGCTTAATGAGAGAAGAGTGAAATAACATTAAGTAAGTGAGGATGAACTATATACCTAGGATAATAAAAAATGATTGAGAGATATGTTGAAACATGTGAATTATGTGGGATGATGATTTAACATGCTTGCATTTTAAAGCACTAAAATAAAAATTAATAATTATAGAATAGAATAATAGATAATATAACATACTTATGTGATGCTTAAGATGTAATAATTGTTAGTGGATGATAATATAGCATCGTTGTATGTTAAGCTTTAGGATCTAGTGAGTTATAACTTACACTAAGATAGGATAGGATGTTATGTAGTAGTTTCTGGATCCAAATAATTGTAAAGTTAACAGTTTCTATTTAATTTATACAGTTTCTTTTGATTGCTTGAAATAATAAAAACACATTTGTATTTTCTGAATTTACAAAGAATCCCCAAAATTCAAATATGCTTATTATCAAATATATTTACCTCCTATAGATTTATTTATTTCTGGCCTTTTACAGATAACTCCTGCAAGCAGTCTATCACTTCAAAGTGTTCACATTGTTCCCAGCAAAATAAATACAAAGGCCAGCAAGAAACTTTAGCCTTTTCTTGCGAACTGCTCCCTCCATTCCAAAATATAACAAAAACAAAACTAGTAGTACAAACTACGAATAGATATCTATATCTATAGTCTATATCTAGTTAAAATATACGCAAGACTTCCGCTTATTCAATTTGGGACATTGCCAAGTCCATCTGCGACTCGGCTTCGCGTGTGTCTGTATATGTAGCCGGCCTATGATTTTTTATTTTTTGCCAAGCAGCTTTATATAGAAGGCACAACGGTACTAAAATTGGTTTGCTTTGAATTTTTGGAATTTAATTAGCTCTCAGATGGTTTCGGCTACCAAACCTTCAAGCCCTGCA